CCTCCCTCCTTGCCTCCATCCTTGCTTTCCTTCCTTCCTTTCTCCCTCCCTACCTCCCTTCCTTCTTTCCTTTCATTACTGTTGCCTAAAAAACAGACTACCGCTGTCATTTAATAGACAGGGCCATGAATGTTGTGTACTGAAGAAATCATCCCCTTTGACACAGCTAAGACAGTGAATTCCTAGTAGGACAATCCACTATTTTACAGGTTAAGACTCAGGGTTCCAAGTCGGTCATTTGGCTTACACTGATCCATATCACATGGCCTTTATATGGTATAGGTATATTGACAGTTAATTGAGCAGCCTGAGTGAGCACCATGAAACAGCTAGGAGGAGGGCATGACCTGGAGACAGAAATGGAAACTAGGCTCAGGAAGAGATGCCTGGATCCAACAGGTGACAGCACACAGGAGCTAGACGGAAACTGGGACTCTGCTGAAATGGACTCTGAGTTATTATTATTATCTTAAATCAGGATTGCTTTGAGATAAACAAAGGAATCAGTAGATAGATTGCCACTGTAGGACTTCTTCCACACCATATATGATTGTACATGAATTTTTTTCAGTTAGCTTTTTGAAGAATCCCTCAAAAAGGGAAATATGGACTTTGTTTTTAACATATTAGCTTTGTGACTTTAGATGAATCAGTCTGTTTCCTTGAGCTAAGTTCCTCATCTGGAACAGGAGAGATTAATGAACGTTTACCTTGCAAAGATGCTATGAAGCGATGTGAAGAGTATCCCTCTACCCCCAGACAGTGAATATCAGGGACCCGGCTGTCATATAGTGGTCCTGCTCTAATGCCTGCCATTAGCAGAGGCTCTGACCACAGTGTCTGTATTTTTTCTCTCCTTACTGAGTTTCTTCATAGGTAACATAGAAAGTGATTTTTCTTGATTGTCAATGACAGTTCTTCCAGGTGAATCATGCTATGAAATCTCCAGAGAGTTTGTCTCACAGAATTAGAAAGTCAAGTAGTGGTTACAGAGCCTGAGGAGAGTTTGGAAGAAGGGTGGAGAGAGTTTAGAAGGAGAGAGGACAGTAAACAGGACAGGGCTGAGACTGGGCAGCATGACTTCGCTCATGCTCTGTAGCACAGCAAGCTGACTCTGGTTGACAAGACATATTTGAATATTTAAAAACAGCTAAGGCCTATTTTTGAGGTATACAGAGTTGACTTCCCATTACTCTGGACACCATTACACACTGCACATGTGTAGTGGTTTATTTCCTGCTACATTAAACTCTGTATTTTGGGAGGAGCTAATGTGGGAGGAGGAAGAAGGAAGAGGAGGAGCTAGAGAAAGGAAGTGGAGAGAGACAGGAGTGGGTGTACGCTTGTCTCCAGTAGTCTAAGGTAGTTATAATATCTAGGTTAGGTATTGGGTAACACCTTTAATTGTGTGGACTTCTTGTTATTAGATCATTACCAAATATATAATATTGGATAATCTTTAAACATTAGGGTCTCATTTCTACTGGGTACCACGTGGATGCCAGGATGGTCTGGGCTCAGCCCAGCCTTGTAGAGACAGTGTGGGAGATAGGCAGAGCCATCTCCCACACTGGCGTCTTGTGGGTGCCAGGGCTGGTGTTTCTGGCTGGCTGTTTCTAGCTGTGCTGCATCTGTGGCCTCTGGCTGCTTCCTGCTGTGGAGCACTTGGCTTTAGGCCTTGGACCTCAGTGGCTTGAGCTAGGCAGAGCCGCTGCTGCTTAGATGGTCAGCCTACGCAGCCCCTTTTATTAAATATTAACAGTAACACACATGTACTGACATGTCCCCTGTATCTTTTATATATGCAGAAGTGGCACATGTAAAATAAAACTGAAGAAAATTGGAAAACAGAGTAAACTCTTCAGTATGTTGTTATTGACCACAGTTTTCTATTTG